AGGAGTAGAGAATCATAATGATGAGGGAAACAAAAAGTTTCCAAACTTTTGACGCGCATTTTTGTGAAAAATTATACTTTCCCATTAGGATTTTCGATTTCGGAGGAATGTATTGCCCATCGTTTCCTTCACTTGATTTTGTATATATACGTGAATTTGGGGCAATTTTGTTGCGCTGCGCGACTCAAAAATAAAAGTTCCGACCTTCTGTCCGCTACTGTAGATCAGTGTGTCTGTTTGTTCGCCCACAACATGAAGCGATAGGGGTGCCCATGGAATAAACAAAGCTCGGGAGTTGGAGGTCTTACGACGTTCAATGTCCTTATTGTGATAGTGCCAACAACAGCTACATAAGCGCCCACTGAACACGCTCTTAGGCTGATGGTGCTGCGGTGATGGCTGATGAAGGCGGAGGGAGTGGAAGGGAGAGTGGGAAGGAACCATCGTTAACTAACCGGATTTCTAAGATATCGCTGAAGTATTATTCTAATGTGGTGTCCTGATTGCGATAACACACGACAATTTCCGCGTAATCATCTATGAGCATACCCTCGACTCTTCCACGCGGTGCTGTCATGACAGCTGGAGGAGGATAGGAGGAAGAGGCAGGAGAAGGGGGAAGAAACAAACCACCGCGATAAAACATTCGCATAAAGTGACAGCTCCCGGCAAATACCGGGAGACAAAGCTGGTAATATTACAAGTCATGGTGTAGTGAGCTTTGCCATTTAGACGCGACTTAGTGGTTCTGAGAAACATATCCGCTTTTCGTTAAGCGTCAAAAGGAGAATAATTCAAAAATTTAGCAAGACAGGACAAGGAAATAGTCGAAGAAATGGTTCATTGAAGGCAAACTCCGGGATAAAACGTGGGAGTTCCCTGTACAAATATGAAACCCTGGGTGCTAACTGAATCGAACCTGGAGAAAAAAAAGCAGGGAACACCCCCAAAATAGTTCAAAATTATAACTTCCTTTTCGTTGCTTACTTACAAGCCAGGGCTGGGGAGATAACGTGTATGGACGTGTTCACAGCAACTGTTGGCTTTATGCCATCAACCACTCGGCTATAACAACTCAGCGATGAGAATTGATTTCTTCCAACTTTCCTTATTTTTCTGTTTATTTGCGCTTTTTTGTTTGTTTTTCTTATTTTAAAAATTTGATTTTTATTAGAATGAGTAGCAAAGTTTCCTGTAATGGCCGTATAGCTTTGATATTGAAGTTGACAGTTGAAATCCGCCAATATCCTCCTACGACCTTCCAAACAACAACTTAACATCTAGTGTTCCATGTGGTTGTTTGGAAGGTCGCGTGGAACAGTGGGCGGGCTCAATGGGGTTGGGGCGGCGCCAATGCTCCAACCTAGGCTCCTAGCGCCTAAACCTTGTCAAATCGCCCCGCCACTTCTGCACATGGTCTGCCCTTGCGTACTGCTGCATATTTGACGGGGAAAACCTAAATTTCGCCAGAAATCCCGAACTTTGCCTTTAAACTGCAACAACACTGCTTGCGCGCAAAGCTTCCGTAACTACAGACCCCAATTACGATCTCACTCCGTCTCCATCATACTTCATTCCTGAACGGATATAATGCTGATGCTGAAGCTGATTCATTTATGCATCAGCTTGACTACCTTCGGTGCACGATAGTATTTATTTAGTAAGCCAGATCCTTTGGCTAACTTGGGCAGCACTACCGCGCTAGCGTATTTTACAAGGAAGGTTTTCAAGGTGTGCCAAGCTTATTCAAAACGGTCTTTCGCATGATATAGAGAACATGCGAACACAACCAATGTTACGATTTCCTCTCGGCCCTTGAATACAGCAGGGTCCCTAGTCACACCTTTTTCACCAGTTTTTCAATCAAAGTCTATTTGTAAGGGTTACTGACGTCCCTAATCATGCATTTGGTACTAATTATTCATGTTAATTCCATTTTGCGTAAATTTAGGAAAACATCACGAAATGCAAAAACTTGTTACCACGAGGAATCGAATCTAGGGACCCCTTTTCTGGTATTCAGGGCCGTTCAGGAAAAATGAACCATGCCTACTGTGGTCCCCATATGTGCCCCAATGTCATGCAAGAAACCATTTTGAAAATCTGCAAACACATGCGAACTATCGAATCACTTCGAAAATTAACCGTGATTCTATGGTTCCGCATGTGTTTGCAAGCTTTTTCAAAATGGTTTCTTGCATGACATTGGGCACATATGGGACCACAGAACCATGGTTAATTTTTCCTGAACGGCCCTCTGAATACCAGAAAAGGGGGTCCCTAGTCACACCTTTTTCACCAGTTTTTCAATCAAAGTCTATTTGTAAGGGTTACTGACGTTCCTAATCATGAATTTGGTACTAATTATTCATGCTATTTTGCGCGAATTTGGAAACGTCAACTCGAAATGCAAAAATTTGTCACCACGAGGAATCGAACTAGGGACCCCTTTTCTGGTATTCAGAGGCCGTTCAGGAAAAATGAACCATGCTTCTGTGGTCCCATATGTGCCCCAATGTCATGCAAGAAACCATTTTGAAAAAGCTTGGCACACCCTGAACGACCTCCCTTGTGAGGGCATGTTTGGGTTGAATGGCGTCGATTTCCACTGCCCTACTACTTCTGCCGCCTATTTATGGTTGGATATTCGAAGTTATCCCATTCCAGGTAAAACCAGTGAAACAAAAAAGAATGAGATGCAGTTTCACGCCGAGCTAATGGAACAATGGAAATGGAAAAGGAAAATCGTCCATCAAAATTCAATTTGACGCAGAAACCTTCTATCAGTTGTGCGAGTAACTATTGCCCGAGCTCCACTACAAAGATCCAACATTTTAAGAAGATTCTTTCAAAGGAAATCTAGATAGCAGTGTCCATACTCACACATAAGTGTTACTTGGGATGGGACGGTGACATTATTGGGTGAGTGAAAGTGATTGACGCCGATAAGGGACGGCACAGGACAAAAGTGGGCGCTGTCGATCATCCTACTATATATAGTCAGTATCATGCATGGTGAGACGAAGACACAGATGGTGGTTGATACGATCTCATAACGATTGATAAGAGCTGATACGGGGGAGGGGTTCAGGTCAGAAAGCAAGTGCCACCGATTTCGATCTGTCGTTCGTGTTGTTATTGGTCGTCCGTGCTCGCATATGCTAAGCATGGACAAAGAGAATACTAGGAGGATTGAAACTAATACGAACTGATAAAAACGCCGAGTTGGAGCGTTGGAACAAAAGTTGCCAACCGCTCGCGTGTTTAGTGCTGTTAGGATGCTAGTGTCGCGAGTTCCTAGGGAGCCGGCCAGCGGCAGTGAGGTGTTTTCTCTTAAATATGACGTGTAAGGTGGGGCGGCGTAATGGAATTGGAGAATCGGAAACATGTTTGTTGGAGAACAAACAGACCGACAAAAGCTGATCGGAGCTATCGGAGGAGTCAATAAAGTCATTTTGAATCATTTCAAGAAAAGCATTCTGTTTCATCCGCAAAGTGTCGTCAGCATCGAGCCCCTTTCAACCTAATCTGCCCAGGCTTCCTATATGATCGGTGTTTTTATGGAACATGATAAGCACTCGGGTTACCATTTCAATTTCACCGTCGTGAGACGTTATCCATCATTCCATTCATATTCCGCTGACCTATTTCAACTTCCTAGGCACGGTGGTCGATGCCAAAAATTCGATTAGTTTTGTGAAATGTCTACGATCAGATTCCGTGGTACGGTAGATGACATTTTCAAGCAAGGACTGATAGACCTGTATCACCTGTATCACCTGTCGTCCCGTTGATCATCGATTTGCTCGAGCGGGCGCCAGCAACGTCTCCATTCGTCCCTGTCGCGTGCAAGAGTTGTCCAGTGGATCCTCCTCGCTCGAGGGACACGAAGTCCTTCATTCCTTTCGTTCAGAGCTTTCGTGAAGAAGTCTGACCATCGGGCCGGCGGTCGTCCAGGTGTTCGTTTGACGTCCCGAGGGATCCAGTCGGTAACCGCTCTGGTCCAACGGTCATCAAAATCGCATGACGTGTCCGGCCCACCTTATCTTCGATTCCTTGGCGAAAACGGCAGCGTCCCTGATCTTCGATCGTTGGCGTAGTTCGGAACTCCGGATTCCCCTCTGCACTTGCGTGTATAGGGTTACTCCTAGCATCGTCCTCTCGACAGCGCGTTGGATAACGCTGACCGCATGCTCGTCCTGCCTGCGCAGAGTCCAAGTCTCTGAGGCGTAGGTTAGGGCAGGAAGGACAGCGGAATCGAAGAGGTGGGCACGGAGCCGGATGTTCTTCGTCTTCTTCACTACTCCCTCGATGTTCTTGAACGCTCCCCATGCCGCTCGTTTCCTCCTGCTCAGCTCTGGAGCTAGGTCGTTCATCATATTGATTTCCCGACCTAGGTACACGTAGCTGGAGCATTCGGTGATGTTCGTTCCGTTGAGCGTGAATGGGGCATCAGGAACCAATCCGTTTCTCATAAACATCGTCTTCGTTAGGTTCAGCTGCAGACCGACCTTACCACAGGCGCAGTCGAAATCAGCCAGCATTCGCTCCGCTTGCTCGATGTTCGGCGTTATAAGAACGATGTCGTCAGCAAAACTTGACGCATGACGTTCTCGAGAGCGGCGCTGAAGAGTTTGGGCGAGATGGTGTCGCCCTGTCGGACCCCTCTCTTGACGTCGATGATGACCTCCTTGTAGAATGGTGAGGGCGATAGTTGCCAATGTCGTCCAGGTCTCCCTTCTTGTACAGCAACACGGTCCTGCTGGTTTTCCACGGAGTGGGTACCTTGCATTCCGACAGGTAGCGCGTGAAGAGTCGAGCCAGAGTTTTGATGATAACTGGCGGCGCATTCTTCAGATGTTCCGGTTTGACCCTGTCGAGACCGGGTGCTGTACGATTCTTCACCGACTTGATGGCGTGTCGGACTTCGGAGAGAGACTGAGGGGACGACGTATCCATCCTGTTGCAGTTGATAAGTGGGCAGATGGACATGGCTATCGAAGAGATCCGAGTAGAAGTCGTGGATGACTTTCTCCATTGCCCTTCGGGATGCAGTAACTGTTCCATCGGACGTCGGAGGCAGGTCATCTTGGTCTTGTAGCTGGCAAAGCTTCGGCGGGCATTGCGGATGCTCCTCCCAGCCTCTGCTGCTTCAGCTAATACTGCTGCTCTTCGCTCCTTGAGATCTTCCTTATCGCCTCTCTGCATAGCTTCGCAAGCTCGGACGTGAGTTGGTGATTGCCTGCAGCTCGTGCGGCTCCACGTTGGCGTATCAGCTCGAGAGTTTCCGAGACAGACGTCCTTGGTGACTTTCAAACTCTCTGCCTTCCTGCCACAATCGTGAAGATGTTCAACGAGCCGATGTATTCCTCGTCGATGTTTTCGATGACGGAATCCTCCCATAAGCTGACAAGAGAAGTGAAGTGATCCCAGTTGATGACTGTCCTGGGGCTTCGCTTCCTGAACTTTGAGGCTCTCTCAACACGCATCGAAAAGTGGAACTTTGCGCGGAGGAGACGATGGTCCGATCCCGTGTAGAACTTCGGAACAACAGCGACGTCGGTCAGGCAAAACCTTCGATTGAAGATGATGTGGTCTATCTCGTGATGGAACTGCCCATAACGAGATAGACTGACAGATCTAGCATCCGTATTATTTATGCAAAGATCAATCGACCGCTACAACTTATTAGCTGCGAAAGTTGATGGACGTTTATGGGCACTGGCGAGCGGAAAACAAGAGGAGAAAGTCCGCTTTACCACTAGCTTCCGAAAATAACATCAGCCAAATCCATTGAAAGCAAAATGCTACTTGAACAAAGCCCGGAAGTGCTCTTTTTCACTGGAGCCTACTTTGACATGCTTGCGGTAACCATTGGAGCCAAAATGAAAAAATGCGTGTCTTTAGAGTGCGCGACCGCGGTGCTACAATGCTGCTCTCAATTTTCAAAAATTCTACGCTGTGTCACGATTTGTAACGTCGCAAACCGTCGCCCCTTCATAACTCCTTGAAAGCTGGGCGAAATGATAGGACCTTACCGCATGGACTCGCCTCTCTGTGGCGAGTCTAACCAAATTACTAATACTAATTCGGTCAAACCAATAGTAAGTTATTCCATGAAAACCATTGTCGATCCGTTGTCGAACTATTGTTGAACAGTGTTGCCTCACCTCATTTCCTTCTTCTCCCCAATTGGAGACCAGCTCTTAGCTATAACCTTGATAATTTCGTCAAGCCTTCCTTCGTGCCTTTCGCCACTTACGGTGTTAGCCGTAAACCTTCTCAAATTCGAGCGAACGACACGATTTCGAGTTCCTTTTTTGTCACAAGTCAGTCTGAAGCAGATGTTCCCTGTTTGAGCTCCACTAGGATTGCGCCAAGCACTCGAGTTTTGTTCAAGAAAGTGGTTGTTCGTAAGCTACGTGTACCTAGTCCTACTTATGCAGCTTGGTTTTTTACAGAAAGATGGGTCTCAAAACTTATGGTTAGCTGCAGAACGACACAGTGGGCGACATCGACCCTTAATGTACCATATTAGTTCCCTGGTTGTGCACTGCCTCCTAGCCAGGGTCAAGTTGGTACAAGTACCAACGGGGGGTCGTACTTGGTTTAGG